AAAAAAAAAAAAATATCCCCCTTTTTTAACCTCGTTTAATTGCGATTCATTGTTGTTGAAGGCGATTCTCGAAAATGGGGCCAATCCCCTATCGATATCGATGAACGGAACTTAATCAAGATAAAGTTCCCCGCCCTTATAATGAGCGGCCATTGGAGCAACGACGGTGAGGCGAAAATGCGAAACATCGGGACCACAGGTGACTGTCCTCTTACCTTCTCCTTGTTTAGATCAATTATTGTTATTATTATCATTATTACTTTACCATTAAAAACGACGGTATCGGCATGACAGTTCGAGTGACGTTGGAGGGGAACAGGAGTCCAGCAACGATCCAAGGAGGCCCTCTGGCGACCGACACCTACGAGCTTTCCGAAGTCGTGTTTCGATGGGGCTCGTCGAACTGCAAAGGTGCCGAGCACACGCTGAACGGTACTTGGTTCACGATGGAGGCGCAGGCGATACATTTTAACAAACGTTACGAAACGATCGAGAGATGTTGGCGCGAGAACGACGGCCTCGCGATATGCTCGTACTTCCTTCAAGCCTATCAAGTCCCCACCTGGGACGAGCATCCGTCTTTCTCCAAGATCACCGACGATCTCTACAAGATCACCCAATATAACTCGTACGCAAAGTTACCGGCAAGTACGTTAAGAATTTTCCTCCTTCCCCCCCCCCCTTTTTTTTGTTCATTCAAATCAATTCTCTCAAAGATTTCTCGATTCGAATTATCAGCTTTTTTGTTGTCGCATCGCAGATTGCTTGAGCTGGATGAGGCAAGCTTGTCAATCACCCGGTTATTACAGTTACTTGGGCTCGCTCACCACGTTCCCGCATTACGAGTGCGCTATCTGGATCGTTTTCCCGGAACCGGTCAGAATTTCGGAGAATCAGGCGGACCTGTTTCGCATGTTGCGCAACAAAGAGGGCCGCTGCATAAAGGATAATTATCGCGAGGTGCAAAAATTGAATGGCCGTATGGTTTATTACGTGAATTAAGTTATTACGTGTCGTTATCGAGTCGAAAAGTATATTATTAAAGTTTATTATTGATTATATTATATTAAACGTCGTGCCGTGTGTATGTTTAATAAAAATCTAACGTATAATTCACTTCATATTTCATTTCTTTCGTATTGTCTGCGTCTCTACGAGAGAGATCTTCTTGCGAAGCTTATACGAGATTATGTATATATATATATATATATATATATATATATATGATTAATTGGAGTTATCGAAACGATCGTGTAATATATATCGAACATGGCGACAGTCGAATTGCATACTCGTACGAAAAACATTGTATCATCGAACGCAACGAGATTCGTTGCAAACCTCACAATCTTATCTCGATCAACATGCAGCTAATAACTTGAATTAATTTTACGCTTCGATCCGATCTTATATATACATATATGTGTATATATATGTATATATATGTGTATTTTTGGCTATATATTTGATTAGAAAATTTTCTCGTTGAAACACAAAAGAATGTTATTCAGAAGGGAAAAGAAAGGAGGTAAGCGTTGGAAAAATGTATCGCTATAACCTGCATATCTTATTGCAACGATCCTTGAATTGAATCTCGATTCGTTTCAAGTTGTCAAGCCCACTTTCGTATCAACGTCGTCAACAGGATTGCCTAAATGGCGGCAATCACCGATCGATTTGTGCAGAACGTTCACGTGGACCAAGAAACTTCCACCTCTCTACATGACGAATTACTGGTCGGACAGAGGGACGGTTAAAATGACGAACACGGGTAGAACAGGTAAAAATTCTTTGACAAATCATTCGTTAAAACGTTAAAAAATTCTCTGCAAATTCTTTCTTTGCTCGAATAAGAGAAAATTGCTCTTCCTCTCTTTTTTTCCCTCTGCTCAGTCGTCATAGAAATTTCCGACAGATCCCTACCTTTTCTGCGGGGCGGCCCATTATCCAAGGACGAGTTTCAATTCATGAACGTGCAATTCCGTTGGGGCGCTGAGAACTCGTGCGGCGCGGAACACTCCATAAACGGTGTCTGGTAAGATGTTTCCATCTCGAAAACGCGCCCGACAAATCCTAATCCATCGCGTTTCCACAGGTACTCGATGGAGGCACAGGTGATGCACTGGAACACCCGTTACGGATCGATAGACAAGTGCTACGACAAACCGGATGGAATCGCCGTGCTCTCGTATTTCATGCAAGTACGTGTACCATCTTGATACTTTTTTACCAATTTAATTTGCGCGAATTAACAATATCGAGATAAACTCGTTTGTGATCATCTCGTGGGTTTGACAGGTGGTGGGCTGCCCTGGAATACCCGACAATCCCTCCCTAGCAGAAATTACCAACAACTTGTCAAAGATCAAGTTGATGGGAAGCCAAACGAACATATCACCTTGTAATTTTTTAATTTTTTAGCACGGTTTTTGCTTTCTCGTATAGATTGGGGATTATACGAAGCGAAGCGAATCAGTAATGCGTGAATAATTTTTGTAAACAGATTGCTTGCTTTGGATGTTGGAGGGGTGCAAAGGCCATGGTTACTATACTTATTTGGGTTCTCTTACCACTCCACCTTACCAAGAATGCGTTATTTGGATCATATCGCCGATTGTGAACAAAATATCCGTTCGCCAGGTTGGTCTTGTTATATAAGGAAAAAAAAAAAAAAAAAAAAAAAAAAAATAGATTGAATGGCAACGCACGTTTCTCTCGTATATTTTGTATACTCGAATCGCAGATAGACGCGTTTAGAAGCCTTTACGACGGGAAATTGAGGAACATATTGAAAAATAACAGGTCGCAGCAACGGCTTCAGAGAAGAATAATTTACCACATCACGGAAGACGCTGTAGCATGAAGAATAATATCGGACATTGTTGATTATAGTCAATCTTGTTATATTCCCTATATTATTCCGTTCATCCCTATGTGAATACATTTTTTTATTAAAAATTATAATTTAAAGAATTTATTTACATACATCACATTCTCCTCCCCCTTTCACCCATGAAGGTCGATAAATTTAATTGGCAAAGTGATCAATACATAATTTACAATCAAAGGGTGAATTCAATATTATTCCTTGTTTCCTTGTTTGTTGTTAACGCGTCAAAAAAAAAAAGAAGAGGAGGAAAAAACATAACCTTCTAACCTCGAACACATCTATCCCCATATATTCATTATGGCATCCTTCAAATCAGAAAATTTCAAACTGGATATATTCTAACTAAATTAAATGTAACAATTCTGTGAAATCTCGTTCGTGAATTCGATCATAAACGGCAACGATGGATGAATATACAGGTTTAATCGGTACGACGATAATCGAAACTTTTGATATTAAATTGTTAGGTTATGTGTGTGTATATATATATATATATATGTTTGCAAATTGTGTTTATATTCTTTTTTTTTTTCTTAGGTTTACCAGTGACAGGCCAATCTCCAATTAATCTAGACGACAGATTGGTACGAGAACGAAAATATCCTCCACTTGTTTTGAACGGCCACTGGTTGAACGAAGGTGAAGCGAAGATGATAAATAATGGTCAAACTGGTAATCTCGGTGACGATTCGAACGTTCGAATCGAATCGAAACGTTTCTCCTCTTTCGAAATCTCGTCTGGTTTCAGCGAAAATAACTTTAAGCGGAAACAGGATTCCATCCACGATTTGCGGTGGGCCGCTGGTAGACGATGTGTACGAGTTTGAAAGCGCACATTTCCATTGGGGCGAGGACAATTGCAACGGTGCCGAGCATACGATAAACAATACTTGGTAAACAGTATTGAATGAAAACGAAAAAAAAAAAAAAAAAAAAAAAAGAAAAAATGAAAATCGTTTCATTTCCCCCCTCTCAATTAATCAATCAATGCAATAATTATGCTCCGTCAAGGTATTCGATGGAAGGGCACGTGATACATTGGAACAGAAAGTATCATACAATGGAAGAATGTTTCAAGCACAAAGACGGTTTCTGCATTTTGGCATATCTATTTTTGGTACGGGTATCTCCATCGCGATTTCGATGCCCCTTCTTTTCCCTTCCCTATTTCTTTTATCCCTTATGGTAAAAGTACAAATTTCGCTTAATTTTCGAAAAGGTGCAACCAGGTTGTTGTACTTGCATTAATCCGCAATTGGAAAGGATAACGGAGAATTTGAAGGATATTCTGGACACGGAAATGGAAACGAAGATACCACCTAGTAAGGGATCATTGTTACTAATCTTTTGCCTTCTAACAGTGACGATAAGGCTTAATTAACGAGTTGCACGCATTTTAAATTTGGATTAGATTGAATGAGACGACGAAAATGCGAGAACGCTCGGTTGATAATGTCGCTTGCGATATAACAGCAGAGTAATCCCTCGATCAAAGTAAATACACCGATGTATCTTTTTACATACAATCGATTACTCGAAGTGAGTTTCAATGATGTGATTAACTACGGTTTTTTTATACCTTTGAATAAAACAAACATTTTAATTACGCAATTTGATACAAACTCGAAATGCTTGTAATTACTCGTTAATTAATCTTTTGCCCTTCAATGGCGACTCTCAGACACCACTCGGATCGATGCGGCATTTATTTATGTTTGATTTTTTTAAAATATCGCTTCACGAATTTTATCTAAAATTGGACCGAGTTTGACAGTCGATAGAGAGATCGTAATTAAAAAATAGAGAGATCACGTTATCGAGATCGTAAGATTTGATCTTTTGCTTTGACGAACCGAAGATGCATCTTGCTAATTATTATTAAAACATCGCGCGAAACAACGATATAGACTTTAATATTCGACAAATTTTCTTTCTTTATATACATAAAGATACATAGAATATTAAAATATACAAGTTTTATACTTTAATTCGTGCGTGAAATCATTTTAAGTTAGCTAAGAAATTCATCTAAAAACGGGAATCGTGTGAAGTTGTTGTTTTCGATCGAGCGAAAAAGAGTGAAATTTACATTCCTCTTCGCTAAATTTTTATAATTCTACGTTTTAGACAGTTTATCTTGGATGCGTTGGGCGACCTATTGCACTAGATACTACACCTATTCCGGATCGTTCAATGTTGCCGATTATCCAGAATGCGTCACTTGGATCGTGTTCCCGGTGGTTATACCCGTACGAGCCAGTGAAGTAAGTGTGATAAAACGACGAAATAAAAAGAAAAGGAAGAAAGGAATCTACTAATCGGAAATCTCGTTCCATAGATACAAGAATTTCGAAGACTGAGAGACAAAGATGGGAAATGTATAAAGTCAAATTGTCGAGAGATACAGTTACTAAAGTGTAGACAAATATATTTAGCTGTGCCGAGTTAATATATGAACAAGCAACATCATTCGAGTTTTTCTAACCTCTTTTGTGTGCGCGCGTGCGTGTTTGGAAAAAAAACACTCCTCTCCAACCGTTTCGACTACTACTACTATGTTACATCTTACATATACATTTTAACTCCGCATGAACCACGGTGGTTCACATATATAGACTAAACGCAAGCCTGACGAATGTAAACAAGCAATGTCAAGTAAGTGTCGCCAGAAGAGCAAACAAGTTATTATCTCGTGCTCGCCCATCATATAGAAAAAGTGCCATATACAGTGGGTAACGAAAGTATTCGAGCGCTTACATTTACAATTTTTGATGAACGAAATATACATGTTGAAAAAATTTGTTTAAGATAATAAGAAATGTATAATAGAAGGGAAATTATATAATAAACACGCACCGTTACAAATGTATTCAATATTAATATTTTGTTGGCCCATCTTTGGTAATAATAATTTATCACAAACTGATGAATCATTTTCAAATTTTGCTGACATAATCTTGAGATTTCCCTCTTACTATACACCTCTCATTGTCTTAAACAAGCTCCTTCAACATACACTTTCGTTACCCACTGTATATATATATATATATATATATCCTTCTGCAGCCAACCAACCGATTTCAATCTCCTCAAGAGAGAATGAAACATTAGCGTTTTCACACGTTTGGAAAAACAAGGAAAAGAAGAGAGAAGAAACGTGTTCTCGTGTTTATTATTTACAATCACTTGTGGCGCTCGTTCAAATTGTTGTACGACTCGATCGACGCGAATATCCTCACCAACGTCTCCCCCAAAAGGTTGTAGACACGAATGAAGAACGTCTGCTTGTAAAGATACTCGTCGCTGGGATAAAGAAGGGGGGCCGGTGTCTCGGCCGCCACCTCGGCCACCGTCTGATTCAGCGATTTCCTTTTCCGCCTGCCACGCGCGTTCGAAACGTACGCCCCCTTCCTGTACCCTCCTCGAGGCTCGCTGTCGGCGACTATCTCGCAGACAAGAATGCGCGGGCCCCTCTCCTTCCGGAAATAAGCCCCTCTCGCGAACTCGCTCTCCCTCTCGAACAGATTGAAGAACGAGCACAACAGGTTGTACACGATCTCGGCCTTGGTAGACGCGACGCGCTCGTAAAGGGTGTGGGCCAACGCTTGCTTGTAAAGTTTCCCGAACTCCGTCAACACCGAGTCCCTGGACTCAGGCGGTCGGATCTTGAGCATCGTCTCCCTCATCTCCGCCAACGACATGTTCCAACGATACCTCTTCTGATTCGTGGCCAACGAGTGGAGCTGGTGGAAATCCATCACTATGCTGGGCGTGTAATAGCACGTAGGATTCTTGGCCGCGAACAGGTCCGACTCGAGGAATAGGTGGCTGTAAGCGGGCTCGGGCCTCTTCACAAGAAATATCCTCTCCACCAGGTCGCTTATTATCGATCGTACCGCGTCGTCCCTCACGCAACGGGCTATGTACGCCTCGATCGGCCCGCACGACTCGTTCGCCACGCCCCCGGCACAGCCCCACAGCCTGAAGATGAGGGGGGAGGGGGAGAGCACCGGGCTGGTGATCAACCGCCAAAACTCGACGGAGACGCAGGGCTCGCGGGCCAGGTACCACACTTGAAGCTTGTTTATCTGCCCGGGTAGGATCACCCCTTTCGTCTTGTTGAAGTAGAAAGGGGTGATGGGGCACTTTCCAAGGGGGAACACCCTCGGCCGGTAATCGGCCTCCCGCCACTCGTACACGATCACGCGATTCCCCTTGTTCTCCAACACTATCTCCTTCCCCACGATTTTGTTCAACCTGCCCCGGAACGTCACGCTCCACACGATCGGCTCCGAGTCGTCGCCGCCGCCTCTCTCCTCCCCCTCGAGGACCAGCCTTCTCGAGGGAGGGCAGGGGATGTCCCTCGAGATCTCCCTATCCTGGATCTTGAGGACGATCGCTTGCTCGAGATAGCACTCCTCGCAAGGCGTGCATTTCTCTCTCGCCCTCTCCTCTTCCAGCTCCTCCTCTTTGTACTCGTCCTCCTCCTTGACCACCTCGTCGCAAGCGCAGACGGTGATGACGGGAAGTTTCGGTATCGTCTCCTCCTCCGGCCAGGTGAAATTCTTGATTACCAGCTCGTCCATGCACGGCTCCTTGGGAACCAGCCTCTCTATCTCGCTCGACAACTCCTTCCTACGCTTGGCCAGGTATTGGCTCCGCTTCCACAACGATGCCTTGGTCGAGACGCATACCAGATCCTTCTCCTCCTTTATGAGCTCCGGCAAAGCGACGTAGGCCAATTCGGGGGCTATGTTCATGTCCTTCCTCGTCAGCGTGAAGTGGACGTCGGGGAGGCACGGGAGGGGTGGCAATTTCTCGGCCGTCTTCCAGAACTCTGGCCCCCCTCGATACTTGTCGGGTTGGACGGGGATCGGGATGGAGGCGCACTCAATCAGATTCCTCATCTCGACCATCGGCCGTATCATCTCGCTCGAGTAATTCTGTATCTGATCGACCTGGTGACGATTGACCGCGGTCCCCGTGTGCACGTACTGCTTCTTCCGCCTCTCCAACCATCTCTTCCAATTGGCGAGGCGGGGATCCTCCTCGATCTTCTCAGGGGGCGTTATGAAGGTATCCCTGGTGTACACGAACGTGGTGAACTGTTTCACCCATTTCTTCGGCTCGTCCGATTTCCCTATCTTTCGCGCGTAATCCATGCCTAACTTTCTTTCTCTTTATTCTCGCTTCCCCCCTTCGCTTGGGGGCAACACTTTGTAAAAGAGTGTCACTGCGTGTCAATCGGTTCTCCGAAGTTGGCGACGCGTGAGTCCCGTCGTGTATCGATCGGGAGAACGAAGGCTTTCGAGAGTTCAGCTTTCTTCAACTTCATTCGGAGACCGGATATGAATTCACAAGGTAAGAGATTGTAATTGTATTCCCCTTGGATGATCGATTGATTGATTCTTCTTCTTCTTCTTTTTCCCGCTTTCGTAGAAAAGATAGAAATTTACGAACAGAATGCCAAGTACATTCGGGAATTAGTTGGAACCGAGGGCATGCTAGAGACACCGATCGATCTCGACATTAGTTACATGAAAGTGATCGATCTGGAACCTTTCGAATGGCCTGGTATCGATGTGACGCCGAGAAAATTGAAAATTACCAATACGGGTTTTACAGGTAGATAATACGTTTTTCCTTTTTTTTTTTTTTTCCCCTCCCTTTCGTCGCCTCTCGAACGTCGAGTTCGAATAAGTTTATCGTTTATCGATTTAAAGTAATTCTGAGCGCAAAATGGCAACAAGGATCTCCTTACCTTTGCAAGGGGCCGTTAGAAGGGAATTACGTGTTCGCGCAAGTTCACTTTCATTGGGGAGAGAACGAGATGAGAGGGAGCGAGCACTTCGTTGACGGTGCAAGGTTTAAAAACTTCATTGTCTCGAATCCCGTAACACCCACTACGTAACGTATCATCCTTAAGAATCTACTCTAAACTGTTTGATTGAATGTCGTTCAAAGCATGCCTATGGAACTTCATGTCGTGCATTACAAAGAGGAATATGAAACGTTAGACTTAGCACTTCGACGACCTAATGGCGTTACTATCATAGTATATTTTTGTAAAGTAACGTATTCGTATACATATATGCTTACATTTTTAGACGTAAAATGTTTTCTATATTCTTAGCTTGAAAAAAAAAAAAGAAATAAAAATTCATCGATCGAACGTTCGAACGAACGAAAATGTGACGATTTTTAGTTACAGAACGAGCCGAACGAATTTATGGAAGGGATCGTGAAAAATTTGACCGTCATTCGAACGGCGCACTCGTCGGTTCGTATAATCCCTGCAAATTTAACCGGTATCCTAAAACCGTTCTCGACCGACTACTTCTTATATTGGGGCTCGATAACCACGCCTATAAATATACACAATATTCTTTGGATAATTTGTAGAGAGCCAATTGGACTAACGACTAGACAAGTAAATCCATATCCGTTGTTTCTCTTTTTTAATGTATTCTCTTTTAATCGCGCGTTTTTATTCGTCGCAAGATTGCAGAGTTTCGCACTTTGAACGATGAAAAAGGCGTGCCTCTTCTGTCGAACATTCGGCCTTTAAAACCAAGGCAAGAGAAGAGCGTTTTTCACGTGTCTCCATCTGGATCGCTCTACGCATCTCTTTTACCGCTTCCACGAGTTATACCATTAACTTTTGCGACTCTTGAAACCAAAATTTCCGAATCTCATGTAAGCGAGACTATGACCGAAACTAGCGTCAGTGTCATCGAAAATAATATTCTCTAATGTTTGTTCACCTTTATATTTATTTTATATATATATATATACACACATTTCTCGATCGTTCGCGAGAAAAAAATTCACCTTTGTAATTTCACCTTTATACCGATAACGCGTAAGATAAGGATAAGATGGGACGAAAAGCAAAATAAAGGAAATATTATTTTCTGCGCCTTCTGCGTCTTCTTTTCATTCTTTCTCTCTTGAGATCGCAATCGGGATACAAGGATGCGCAATCGGCTCCACCCAGCCCGAGCACGGAGGCCTTTACAGAATCCAGCATTGCCGACCACCGAGATCTTTCCAACATCCTGCCGGTTACCCAACTCATTCCTAAACTGGAAAAGTCGATTCCGTGCTTATCGAGCATATTCATAAAATCGCTCGCTCGATGATAAAAATTAGAAAGCGTATCGGAGCGATCGGTCGAATCAATTCCTATATATCCTCGAAACTTGGTGATTCGAGAAAAAAAGACTTGTTTTTTTTTTTTACCTCCAAACGGGCAGCCAAATTTTACGAGCGTCCTTGGTCTCGGTCGAGTATCGGTTGCTCTCGCATAGAATTCTACGAATGCAATTTCCAAAATCTAGATCAGCGACAAGGGCAGCCTCGATACTTCTAAGAACGGTATGAGACAATTCGTTTAATTCCTGTTGATCGTCGTACGACATGTGTAACAATCCACTCGGATCCCTTCGTAGGCGTTTGGCCGTAGTCGTGGTCATGGTTGTGTTCATGTTGGTCTGCAAGAATTCGAAAGAAGAGAAAGGTAACGAGGTGAAATCGAAGAGAGGAATTGGTAATCGCAAAATATAACCCGTATATATACCGTGGCATTCATCAACAGATGTATAATGAATACTCCAAAGGATAAGAACGCCAAGGCTGTGAGGGCGATTTCGAAAAAATCTTTTATCGAGAGATCGTTCCCTTTCCCCTTGTAACTCTGTTTATGATATTCCTCCTCGTGATCTTGGTAAATTGGAGCGTAATAATGTTCCTCGTGTATAGCGGGATAAGTTTCCGTGTGATGCAGGTAATGGCCGCCGCCACCACCACCGTGACCGTACGCGGGATGGCCGTAAAAGAAATGTCCCGTTGAGGATGGGAGCATGTGATCTATGGGAAGAGACAAATATTTAATCTTAAGAAGATTTTTTCTTCTTTTTTTTCAATTATCGTTTCAGCATTTTGCTTTACCATGCTCCTCGTCGTGTCCATCGTAGAACCAACTTTACCGGATGGTAAAGCAGCTGGCATCGCGTAACCTGTCACTTCCCCATCGAATTCCTCAAAGCTCTCGTCCTGATTACCATGCTTCTTCTTCGTTTTCCTTCGAGGAACGTAGTGCCTGTACACGTCGTCCAAAGTCGTCCTTCTGTGTACACAAATTATATTTTCGCCCTTCAATTAATCACGGATATAATTCTTTCGAATTCGAAACTGACTGATTACCGTTGCAACCAGTTTTTGTACTTCGAGCTTCCCTCGTCTGCCAGTAATTTATCGTGAACGGTTACGTTGTCGTTATCGATCGTGTCGTATAGATCATCTTTCACCGCGTCCAGTCGTCTCTTGACTCGAGGCGTCCTCATTATCTTCGCTATTTCCTCGGCCATGTAACCGTGGCACAAATATTCGTTCATCCTTTTCCTGATGAGAAAAAGGTGAGAGCCACGAGACGTGAAAATTTAGATAATTCGATATTTTTTTTAATAACAATTACCTGTGATATTCCATCTCGGTTAAGGCATCCTGAATGGATCCATCCACGATTTTATCCTCGATATTTTTCGTCGCGTTCGACGAGCTCGTTTCTTGATCCGCGAACAAGAAGGATCCAGGCAAGAGATCGACGGAAAGGATATCGTTCTCGTCGATGCAAAATTCGTTTCCATCGTCGAAACATGCTTGCGCAGAATTTACGCGAATTATCGGTAAGAAACAAACGAGAAACCGAACGAATCGAGTTTCCTCGAACGAATTCATTTCTAGAGCTAGACGTGTCCGACGAGTCGAGCAACTGACGTTAAGCGGACACTGGCAGAACGGAAACACGCTGCTTGGAACAATCTGTTCAACTGGTAGAAATAATTGCTTTGACCGTGCGTGTGTTTAAATGCCGTTGACAAACTTCTTCTGTTTCGAGTTAACAGTTACGCGTATAATTATAAGTGGTAAGTGGAATGAGTTTACAGTGATTTAATCCGATCCTGTTAATTGTTACATTTAAAATTTTTTATTTTTTCAATTCAATTACCACGTGATTAAAATTTGAGAGTTTCCAATTTTTATGCCAATCCAAAAATGTTATTTTAGAAAATCTATATCTGTTTTTCTGTGATTCTGTTATTATTTCATGTTTCAATTTTTTTAATTAATAGAGTGTTCGACTATATTAAAATTTAACGAGGATCATTTACGAGCTTTCCAATTAATGCAGAAATGAAAATTGAATTAAATCATTCGTTCGTAAGTTACTTAACATAACGATTTCATTATTTCAATTTTTTATCTAATCAACGAAATCTTGGACTATATTAAAATTTAATGAGGATCATTTAGGATTCCAAATTCCAATTTTAATAACATGCATTCCATAATCACAGAAGTGAAAATTGATAAATTTTGATACAATAACTTGATACAATAACTTCACTATTTCAATTTTTTATCCAATCAACAAAGTCTTGGGCCACGTTAAAACTTGACGAGGATCATTTAGGAGGTTTCTGTAATACAGAAGTGAAAATTTATAAATTCTTCATCCTAACTACTTAATAATACAATAACCCTACTATTTCAATATTTTATTCAATCAACAAAATCTTGGACGCTAAAATTAATT